AGTGACTTTATTTTTGGCATTATAAGGCAATTAAGAAGTAATTAAGTTAGATACGAGAATGTATGTACCTCATCGGTTTTGTTTTATCATCGAATGCTTCTGGTTAAAACATAGTAATACAATAAACGATGTTATGCAGTTATTATTGTCAATACGTTTTTTTTTTAAATAAAAGGAACAATAAATTTACATACTATTAGTATTTATGTTCGGAAACTGTAGCATAACGTATATGTTCTTCTCCCCACTAACGGATCCAGGATTTAATTTTGGTAGGAGCTTCAGCTCGAAATATTTTTTTTTTAATGTATATATTATGATAATTACTTTGGAAGAAAGAAAGAAACTAAGTAACGATATGAAATGGGGTTCAATCGATTATTTAAGTCCTATTAAATGTAATTAGACGAACAATAATACTTTTAGAGATAATTTTGTTCATAAAAAGTGGCTATGTTTAACCATTTTGTGAAGCGCTTCAGCCCGAAAGCCGTAGATCCGCCTGAGCTCCTCTCTGATGTATTTCAACTATTCGTGATTTTGAAGGGAAATATTTTGATTTGTTTAAACAATATTTTCTTATCATGAAATTTTATAATCACCCAATATTTGAAGATCTATACTTAGTAATGATTATTTTGTTTTAATAAATTACTTAGTAAGTAATCTTGTTGCTCTACAGAAAGATATTTCTTCATTTTCCTATTGTACTGCTATTGGGTTGGTTTAAGAGAAGAGGTTTTTGGTTTGTAATTCTACTCTTTAATAAGAGAGGAATGGAGAAACCATGCCTGGATAAGAACTCCACCTCCACTATGGCGATATTAGCAACCAAGAAAATTATATCTAATACAACGTACTGTATATTTTTATAGCAAATATCAAAAAGTTCCATTCTCTATTATTCAAGGTACTATTCTTCTTCAGTATGTGATAAGTATCCCATGTCAATCGTTCCAAAAAGGAATCTTTCAGAAAGAATTATGGTTTATTTCCAAAACAGTACATTTCCAATACTTTCATACGCATGCACTTTACGTTTCGAAGGTGTTATGGCTTTTATGAAGCCTGTAGTACGAATTCATAATTTGGCATTAGAACTCGTCACTTCTCCAGGAAATTCCCTTTCTGTTGAATATATATATATATATATATATATATATATATATATATATATATATATATATATATATATATATATATTATATATATATATATATATATATATATATATATATATATATATATACCGCTAACATGTTTGTTAAAACCGCGATTGAAAATGCCTGTTTTATTAATATTAGTTTATGTCCACTTATAAAGACAAACTTATAGTGTGAATAGTCTATCGTAAAAACAACTCTTCCGTGTACGATTTGGCACTAAACCTATCAGCTGAGTGGCGAAATATACCTTCCTTGGCGATAAGGGTTGTTTGTCTTTTAGAACTTCTATTTATATCCTACTTATTTTATTTTATGCCAACGTTGTTATGGTTATTTTTATGAAATTATATTTCGTTTATGTATATAGATTACAATTATTACATAGTCTTCATCAAATATTGCGGCTGATAACGATGTTATGCAGTTCAACATCAAATAAGAATTTTATTTTGAGATATTTTTTTTTAGATTTTCCGGTTATTCTGAACTTCAGGGTTATTCAGAAACATGAACAGGTTCAGAAATGAAATGTAACACTATCTTTGTTTGTAGATGAAATAAGAATTTTACAGAAAATCTCTTTCATAATTGAAAATTCACGGTATTTTCCGTCTTCTGCAAATTTTATGTTTTTGCATTATTATTGCACTGTACCCTTTTGGAATATGGCCTTCGATATGTTTCCGTAAACTGTGTAATCTCGTAGTCATTGACTAAGCAATGCAGTATTTAATTTATAACTACCTAGGTAGCTATTTACATTATTTAAATTTGTAGCTGTCTCATAATTAGTGCTAATTAGAGATTTTGATTCTATTGTCGCATATAGAATAGAATAGAATAGAAAATAATTTTATTCTGGGACAAAGTCCCTTCAGAATAACAAAAAATTACAAAATTAAAATGTTGTATCTGGCAAAATAAACAAACATAAAAAGTAAAAGTAAAGCTAAATCAGTAAAGAAAATATTCGTTTTACATACTATATAATTAATCAAATTGGTAATAATTTCAAACCAGTTAATATTTCATGTATTGAACAAAAGTATAAACGAAATTTTTAGAGTAACCAGATATTTTTTTTCTTTTTTTGGCACAGAAACTAACTATTTATCTTTTTATTAAAGTCATATTTATTTTGAATTATCAACTTTATTGACAATATTAAATATTAAAGTTTTAATACTCTGTTTCAAGTAGGTTTTTCTGTTTATTATCAAGCATGAGCTAAAAATGATAGATGTAAGAGGCTTGTCTGGAATTATACCGTTTCATAGATAGCGTATATTTTATTAAGTGCTTAAGTTCTTCTATTTTCTTAATTATTTTTTATTAAAATAATCCTTATGAGTGTTTAAAGCTTGAATTTATAGTTAATATGTATATTTATATAATATATATTAACACGTTCTCATTTATAAAACCATCGATTTATTCCATTTTTATCATAATTAGATATAAGGTAAACACATTTTGATTAAACAATATACAACTTATTACGTTGATTATCGTTTATCAAAATCAATTAAATATTAGCGAATAAACATAACAATGTAATTAACCAATAATACTTCCTTTTCAAATACCTTTGATAGTGATGATATTAATGTAGATATGATACATAGTATTATAAATATAAGTTTTACTACTTAAATTCCTTTCAAAATATTCTTTTGCGTAAATATAGGTAGCATCCGAAGGAAACTATGAATGCATATCCGAAGTGTTTTGAGGGTTTAGCATGCATGCTGTCTTAAGGATTTTAAGCAAAATTTAATAATTTTCTATTTTAGTTGATAGCATTATTTGTTATAATTTACTTATTTATTTAAGCAAAGTAAATAAATACAAGAAAGGTGTGAAGAAGAATCTCCTGCTAGAATATTGATATGATTGAACATTAATTATCGCATCAGTGTCGCTATTACAATTGTTTTATTTTGGTTTTTAAAAACTTAAAAGATTACATTTTTTTTTTAATTAATGTTAAACTTTAATCAGTTGTTAGTATTAGGATACCATATTTCACATTGATCCTATATTTAAAATATACCTTATGTCCCTTTTTAATATTTTTTGAACTTTTCCATATTTATTGACTAAAACAAGAATAACGTTATCATTAACTATATGAAAATGATCAATAATAGAATGCTTCAGGATAGCTATTTCAAAATTAATTAATTTATTTTATTTCAATAATCTGGTGTAACGTCATATCACACAATTTCACTTTCCACATCTTATTCATTTTTCCAAAACCATGGTTCCTGATTTTCTTTTCAATATAAAATTCTAATGTTTTATAATAGTCCTACAATTTTGGCTTGAACTGTTATTTGTAATTAAATACTTTATTCTTAATAACACAGGTAACAATACTCGTTATCTACTTAAATTTAATTTTGACATTTTTTTCTTAAGATGATGTCGACAACATGAGTCATTTAAGGAAAAAATGTTTGTTATTTTTTTGGAATAGTACCAAATCACTAATAACTAGTACTTGTGAAAATTATATATATATATATATATATATATATATATATATATATATATATATATATACGTTTTCTTCTTTAAAGTATAATTTCATTGTCAACAGATTTTTTTTTAAAACAAGTTTTGCTGTATTTCATTTTCGTTCATCCCGAATCAGTTGAAATTTATTGTAATAAATTTAAAGTAAAATCGAATTCATCGATTCGTAATTATAGATTATCATATACTTGCTCAGAACAGGTCTCATAATTATTCATTCCTTTTCTTCCAACAACTATCGATACAACGCAAATACTATGCTTTTATTAGAAACAACCGCCTTTTCATGAAAACTTCCATTACTCATCCCAATTCAAAATTCTTATTGAGATATATCAAACATTTTTGGTAATATTAAAAATATGAATGAATGGATGAGACATAATTTTATTCTGGGACAATGTACGTACTTAAAAACCAACTTTACCGATTATGAAAACGCTTAACTGACTACTAATTAAAATCGAATGAAATTTTGTTAGACTATATATTATAAGTTTATTGATGCAATGTATTTTAGACTCAACGATTTTACCTATCCTCCAGCCACTGGAACCCAGAGCTGTCATAAGAGCAGTTTCCAGAGGTGAGTGCCTTGGGGTGAGAAAGCTGGAACATGATGTCTTTTATCCCTGCTGTAACGTGACATCCACGCTACTAGTCTCCTTCTCTTTTTTTCCTTTTTCTTCTTTTTTTTCTTTCCTTTCTACAGCTTATTCAAACTACAATACATGGCCGCCTCGTCCTATTCAGCTCCTGTCTGTATCTTCCTATTTTTTATTTTAAACTCCTGATTAGTCCCGTGTAACTACATCTTGTGACTGAGGATTTAATAATAGCCTTAAGGTGTTATTTTAACGGTATAATGGATTAATGGTTCGTCATGAAATCTGCATTATTCAATGGAGTATTTTATTCTTGAGTTATTTAGTCTAGAAATTTACTATTTATATTATTATTATTTTGCAATTGGTTTCACCATTCATCTTGTCAGACTTATTTTGTCAGTGATAAAACATGATTCACTATAAATAGTTGGACAAAAAATAGTAGATTATGCATTCTTTATTATCAACTTTATCAGCTAAAGTTTAGAGGTTTAAAATACGTTACGCAATCTTCATAGCTATAACAATATTACGAGGCTATGGCGTGGCAAAAGAAATTCGCCAAAATCTTGAATGCATAACGCAAAATATATGTAATAATTTTCTAAAGAATAAAATCAAAAGCACATCTGACTCTTGATCCCTGCTCCTATTCATTGAACATTTGTATCGTTTCACTTCCAATTTAGGGTATGCTCTGCGGTTTGCCATCCTCTCCAGTTCGAAATGAAGCCGATAATCTATTGGGTTGATATAAGGGCTTCCTGAGGGCCAATCTGAGGCAGAGATGAACTCTGGAATGTTCTTTTGCAGCCACTGCTGAATTGACCTGGCCTTGTGAGCCAGACCGGAATCCTGCTGGAAAACCCAATGACTTCCAGCAAACTGAGTATCATGTATAGGCTTGACAACTGGTTCCTCATATCGTCCTCATAGTTTTTAGCGGCTGTTTTAAATCCTTTTTCACAAAAACTGAGTCATCAATGCAAATTCCCCATCAAACCATCACTGAGGAAGGGTGGTGACCTCTTTCCACTCTTCCAATGACTTTCTGGACTTCTTTAGAGCTGTGTGCGTACACACAATAATTTTGACGATTACATTCTTCTTCAATTGTAAAAATGTTCTCATCGCTGAACAAAATCCTTCGATGAAGACCATTGGTATAACGGCCAAGGAGCACTTTCCATCTATCCACTCTGTTTTTTTATAGGGGAAGTGGTTAACCTTTGTCCTATCATTCTTCGAAATGCACCCATCCTAAGGTCACTTTTTACTGTGCAAGACATTGATCTGACAGAGATATGATATATATATTTATGTATTATCATAAATATATTTATTTATTATTTATAATTTATGTCCAAATGGATTGATCGTTATGCTGTGTGTAAAGCAACCCTGTGTAGTAGGGCAGCACTACTTTCAATAAAGTATTTATCTAAATTTTCCTCCGGAAATCTAGACGTACTTCATCTTCCCTGCCGATTTTTTTGCCTCGTCAACCAGTATAAGTGTTTGTTTCAAGGGCTCATTTCTTCGCCTATGTATATCCTCTCGTCGGTGCCTTGTCCTAAATGTCTTGTTGAGAAATCCTTCTTTACTTTGGGCAGGCGAATGGCCTCATCGCGTACCGTCTGGCGGACGAACCGTGCGACGATGGTCGGTGGCCGATGGTCTTCTCTTCTGCTCCTTTTTCTCTCCACGAAGTCTAGGTCCTCGACGTTTAATTTTGTACCTAGAGCTGCCCCTATGGAGCAAACTAAAAGGCCCTCTGCCGTTTCATCCGGATTAGCCGTGATACCTCTTATCTCCAAGTTGTTTGCCAACTGGGCTTGTTCTGCTTGATTAAGCCTAGACTCGAAGACATTTATTTGCGATGTAAGTTTTTTATTCTCATTTAGTAAATTTTAGATAATTTTGTCTTGTTTGAGTGCTAACACTTCTATCTTTCTCAATCTCTCGCTATCTAGGTCACTCTGCTTTCCTAGCGATATCTTGATCTCTGATGTACCCGACTATCTTTTTTACATCGGCTAATATAGAGGCATCTCAGCGGCCGTAGTAGCTTGATTCTTACTGAGGTGCTTTGCACACGCATGACAGAACCAATTATTTTTTAATTGCTGCGATATTAGTTTGCATTATTTTGTTATTGTAGTTATTATGGTTAAAGTGAGTCTGTTGCTAGTTTTTAAAAATAATATTTAATTAAAAAAAATATAGAACTAAGGCAGAGAAAAAATTAAAATTTATCTACAAAAATCTCATTTCTAATATTATAAAATAAGGCTCTGTTAGTTTTTCACCATATTTATTTTAATTTTCACAGCTGTTTCGGTCGCTAAGCCATCTTCAAGCCATTTTATTCAACCATGCTTTTTACATGTAGTCTAAAGTCTAATTGAGCTTAATTGAGAATTAGACTTTGGACTACATGCCAAAAGCATGGTTGAATAAAATGGCTTGAGGATGGCTTACCGGCCGAAACGTAGCTATGAAAATTAAAATAAATATGGTGAAAAAATAAGCGGAGCCTTATTTTATAATATTAGAAAATGTTCACCTTAAACAAGCACATATGGACTTATTTTTAAACTTCTTGCCTTATTAATCTTATTTTTGACCTCGAGATATAAATATAGAAACAAAAATATCGCAGTGTTTTTGTTGATATAAAAAAGACTACTTTTGAATGCTATTAAAAAAATTTCGGCGAACAAAATAAGTATTTTTTGTTTTAAGGAAATATTTATGGGCGGGGGGAGGGGAAAGGAGGGAGTGCAGCCAATATATAATAATATTTTATTATATTTGCTCGTTTCGACCTACATTGTACTGAACTGCTTTCTGCAGTGTATTGTATTGTATTCATACAACGCTCTGATGAAGACCTACAACGTTGGCACATCCAGTAAAATACTATTATAATATATAGCAATATATATTGGCCTCACTTCCCAACCAGCTTCTTCTCAATTTATAATCACGCTCAACCATCTCCACACCATTATTTTTAGTATTACTCTAATTTGACCGAAATCATACTTAAACGCCAAGTTTTTCCCGTTAGTTGATTATTTAATTAAGTCTAACCGTTCCGTCGAGCCTGGATGTGCCCTAGTAGAATCTTCCGACTAAAGGGTCCATAATTACAAAATATTTAACCAATTACCTGACATACCGGACTCGAACCTTAGATCCCATAGGAGCACCGTGCCTTAATCACTATTGTGCTCCATATTATTATAATTTATGTATAAAATAAATATTTAAAAAATGTATTTTGTCATATGAAAAATAAAACTGAAATAATCGTTTATTCCCTTATTTTATGACATTGGCCATTTATAAAAGTTTACCACATTTTTCCTGTCTACATAATTATTAGAAAAGTGGTTATTAATTTCATCCACAGCTATTAAATTAACCATATATGAAATTATAAATTCATTTGAATGGTTTTATTTTAAACGACGTTTTGAGACGTTTTTAGACGATTATGTTGAACGCATAAATTAAATTTTTATTTCCCATTAATTCAATTATGTTTTAATTATTCATTAATATGCACGAAATATGCTTCATCGCTCTACACTTTATAATAAAGGGCCGAAACGAAGAGATGCTTTAACCTGCATCCTCATTAATTTTGCACTTGAAAAATCTATTAAGGATTAGGGAATTCAAGTGGGCACTGGCGACGCGATATTGTAGAAAGATCATTCCTTACATGGTATCACACCTCCGAGAAATATAAAATCCTAATCCAGATTTCTTCATTCAAAAATAGTCAAAATGACGTTCATCTCTAAAATAAATATTTGATTTAAGTTGAGCCGATGTTATTAAAAACGTTTTGTCTTTGTTTACTTTTTAAATTTAAAAACCGATAATATTCTATGTTCACCGCAATAAAACATTTAAAAAAATAATACTTCCTTACAAAGTTCAAAACTGAAACAAGATACTCATGGGTTGTAATGGTACAGATTTTTTTTTCTAATTTGCCATACTAAAAAATTGTTAAAACTTTCTTTATATTCCTAAAAAGTATTTTGGACGTTTATAAGACTTTTGGAGTTTTGTCAAAGTTGTGAAATGCCAACTAAAATAGATCAAAATTAAAATAAAATATAATTCACAATTCAGTATTAAAGATTTATTAATTCAAGCTTAATGAAATAAAAAACATTTTTCGACTCCTTTATTGATTTCAGCTGAACTGTGAAGAGCAGGGCTTGAAACGGAATAAATTATACATTATTTTAAAAACATTTCGGTATCACCGAAATGTTTATTGTTGATATTGTACATATTCCCTAAAAACTTTTCAAGTAAAGATATTACAGAACTTTAATTTTTGAAAAGTTTTTACTTATATGTTCTATGGATTTTTATTCATAGCCACTCAAACAAATAGCACTTTAAAACTCTAATCTAAGCCAAATTACTGTATAATTTATGAACTTTTTTCCTGAAAAGTTTTACAGAAAATTAAAATGGAACTTTTTTCCTAAAAGATTTCTTCGGAACTGTTGAATAGGAACCATGAAAGTTACTACCCTCGGTAATGAGGTAAACGAGAAATTAATTTCTAAATTTCTATGACTTCTCCGCCTAGTTTATTATTTGAGCAATTTATGTAATTTTAAATACTTTTCAATCTAGGCAATCAAATTAATTGGGTGATATAATTCCCTGAATTGACCTAGTTGGAGCTTTTTCGTAAAAAAAATAAATAAATGTATAATTATTTTTAATTGTGTCATTAAAAAGAAGTAGTTTCAGTTGTTGAAGAGGATAATTTTAGCAATTGAAAATAGGTTTCTTGATTGTTTAACGACGTTCCTTGGATAATAGGTCAATTACCCGCACGTTATTGGCTCGCGTAAGTTCTTTGTCATTATTGCGGTTGCTAAGTATCGCTGATGGGAAAAATCATGCAACAGATATTGTATTACTTGTTTCTTTCCTCATCAAATCTTTATGAGCACCTGGTTTCATTTTATATTCATATATCAATAGTCAACTTCACAGACGATATATGGCCACAGTTTTTACCAACGTTCAGAAACTGTCTTAACTACGGTCTTTTAAAATGTTTCAAGTGATCGTCAAATTTATATGTTCAAAAAACCAATATAAAAAAAAAGTTATTTTGTTATTTTAGTTGTGTTTTTAGATTTATTATTTATTTTTATTTAGTGTTTTTTTCGAGTTACGGAAAGGAATATCAACTTTGTTTCTACAAAAAAACAAATCTAGATGTGTTTATCGTGTGTAATATTTACAAAACATGCATTATTCATATTTCATTATCAGAACGACACCATGCCAGAGCTTGGCGTAGTAAATCTTACTCTAGATATCCATTCGCTTTAGAAAAAAATATATTTGACATACGTTTGAGTGTAAGTGCAATATTGAAATAATCTGTAGCAACAGTAAAGGAGTAAAGTTGGTTCAACTATTTTTTTTAAGAGAAATTAAATTTATAATCATATTTCAGTCCTCGAGGAAAAACCTTAAATATGGATTATTATTGTAATAGACGAATATTATGGTGTAGAAAATTAATATACCCCAGGGTAAGAAAAGGTATAAACCAATCCCTATCGCATATATATACATAATTATATATATATATATAAGTAATTTCTTAAAAAGAGTAAAGGGAAAAAAATTAGAAAATTAATAGAAATCTGATAACTTTAACATTACTTGGCCTATAAAAAGACAGTATATATTTAAATTACCCCATAAATTGACAGAAATGGCAAAAAACAGTCAGCAAATTGGATGGAACTGAAGTAATGAACTTGAAACTATCTAGGGTTTTTTTTTTTTCTATATATTCCTAATAAAATGATATAATCTAAAAGTTTTTAAAATGGGTCGAAAGACCTACTCTACTAGAAGCGCATTTTGTTTTGTTTTAATATCAGTTACATTATATTCGTAAATTATATTAATATTACCAGCAATAGTCTTTTCTTTTTTTAATAAAAAAAACAAAAAAAAAAAACAGCAAATTTGTGGCTATATTATAATCTAGAAATCCACGCTGACTAATAGCAGAAAACAACATAAACATGTTAAAATTATATAAAATATATGTTTTATCTGTTTCTAGGACAAATTAGTATGAAATCGTAGACACTATTAGTTTCTAATATTTTTCGGCCTAGTATAAAAAAAAAAAACTCAATGAAATCTATTCCACATCCGTTACCTCCCCTTGTAGAATATATATTTTCTTAGGGTAGACGAGTCTTTGTCTTCCGCACTGTCTTGGAGTTACCTATTAGCTTATTGCTATTTATTAAACATGTTACTTTAGGTCTTAGAAATATCCTACAGAACAGGTAACATTTAGAAGTTATATTGACATAGTAAAACCCAATCAAATTCACGTTATCAATTCTTTATTTAGTAATATTACAATCTGTTACATCCAAGGACACTAGTGATAGTGATGGAAGAGTAACTCATAAATCCAACCAAATTATTAAAATTAAATTGACAATACATTATTGTCTAGAAAGATCGTGATATTAACCCAGTCAAATTAGCACAAAAAAAGTAGTCTAGCTTGGAAAAGGTCGGGTAATTCAAATGTCTTTTTTATATTGTTGGGTATGCAGTGACCAAACACAATCTTTTGAACAATATTTTCGAAAAGTTTTAAAAGAATCCATTCAACTTTTCTTTAATTTTGGTTACAAAATTATTTCCTTTGTAATTAACTCAAAAATGCCGTTGCTTTGATGAAAATACATTGGTTTTTCAACTTTGAAACGTTGTAATGGTTTTTAACCGTTCCAAGTGATACGCATCCTTTTAACTAAAAAGTAAGTGTAAATTTCCTACATTGAAAAATAGGTTATTTAAATAAACAAACAAAAAACCCACAAGAATTAAGACCCCACAAGGTTTTACGCCTCTAAGCCCTATACAACAAAATTAACTTCTATTCGTTTCTACCTCAAATACCTTAATGTTTTGATGTTAGGTGTGGCGAGTTTGGGCAAAGGTATAAAACTTAGACATGGCGATTACAAACGTCAGCTTAAGGTTCGCTAGTTTCTCATAGGCGAGGAGGTCAAGTGGTAGCTTCCGACAATATTTTAGGAACTCCTCTCACACCCACGGATGTCCCATCTCTCACTTCTAGTTAAGAACCAGTCCTGTGTTGGATGCTACTTCAACTCATTTATTCTTTTCTAATAATCTGCTTCAATGGTCTTTATATTAGATTAGTATTACGGTTTCATTGTTATTATGTAAGTGCTTATCGTAATATCGATTTTTCAGATTCGCTTCCATTTCTACCATTATTAGACAACGGATGTTTACTAAGATTTCTAGGTCAATTTCGTATACAACAGTTTTAGTTCATTTCCTTACAATTAGTTGATTTAACATAAAAGTAGGGTAGAACAAATTTTTTGGGTTGTTTATTTTTAATTGTTTGCATTATAGGCTTTTCAGTACTGTCTATATATTTTATTAAATACTATTAAACTTCTGGTTTATTCTAAAGTCAATGCCTACCACTGAATATTTGTCTTAGACACTCATCGTAAGTTTCTAGAATGAATTTGTTTATAGCGTAGTTAAATATTTTATGTAAGATTTTTATACTTTCACTAATTTTTGTTTTCCTTTTTTTTTAGGTAAGTTGTCACAACCAGTTTTGCTGAACATGTGTACTATTATTTCTTACCGTAAGTATTAATTTCTACCCAATTTGCGATGTATAAATAGATAAGATATAACAACTTACTGAAAAACTGTTCATTGTCTTTTTTTTCATCATACTTTTTATCAACTTAACTGTGTATTCTATTAGTCTAAGAACCATTTCGCTAATTGATACGAAATCTTGTTCCAAAAAGAATCAAAATTTTACTTTAATGTAAAATTTTTGTGTTCCGACTGACAACTGTGTAAACTAGACAATTTCAGCTAGGAGTTCAATCGTCTTTAGAAAGCTATTTTTAAGAAGTGAGAATTTTCCTAGCGTAGTCTTTTGTGTTACTTTAACATTGTATAGGTTTCCTCAGCAAACAATACTATCTATAATATACCGCCTATTCTCATAGGTATCTAAACATCCTTCTCCCTGTTTTCGTCGTCAATTTCCGCCATAGTACTCCAAATATGAGTGTCCCGCTGTGGCAATGCATCATTTACTCCCGATTTCACGGTTTGTGTAACTGATAGGCCTTTGTGCGGTTACCGGTGCGTATCACCCGTTACTCCAAAACCAATCGCGAGCCTAAACATGATAATGACTTGGACTTTCTCTTTTCTGTCGTCGCTGATCGCCATTGAAGCACCTCATTGTCGCCCTGTATTTGGAAAACTTAGTCGTTTAACATTATATATATATTCTATTTTTTTTTTTTTTTGCCTACTAATTTACTGTGAAGAGGAATAAAAAAATAATAATGATATAGAATGGTTTATTATTGACTGCTATTATTGAATCAATGAAAATTGATTGACAAATGTAGAGAGACTATGGATTCATTTGAATTTCCTTTTCTAATATTTATTATATCATAGGATATTTTTTTTAAAATTATTATTTATTCGAATTTAGTTTTTCTTTACCAAACCTAAATAAAATTACTTAATCTACGATTTAATGAAAAAATTACTGTTTTTTAGTGAATAAAGTCACTGTTGTCGAAAATTCACTAAATGTTTACTTTAGAAAAAAATGAACCACGGTTTCAAATTTACAAAGTTTTAAAGTTTTTACATTTTCATTCACAAAAGGTGCGCGCACACACACACACACACACACACACACACACACACACACACTATATGTCGTATTTTGTATTAACTTAGTTTTATTTTGCTGAGTGGATATTTACTGCAAATCATAAAACAATGAAATTACCTTATTTTAGTCACTTTCAGCAATTAGGTTTGTCGGAGTTTCATTTGATTCTATTATGTTTGGGAGAGGTGTTTTATAGAAACAATCTACTAATATCGCAAGTTTGCAATAAAACATTTCAAAAGGTACTCATCCAAAATACCATTTTGTAAAAATATGTAATCTTAATTAACTCACTTAACATGTTTGGTATACCAGTATAATAGGCACTAAGAAGTAGCAAAACCTGTGTGACAGACCACGGTACCGTAGCGATATTTCTTTTTTTTCTTTGAAAGTATTAATATTTCAGTATTTTATGTTTTGTTTATTTATTATTATTTTTTTGCTCAAACATGCCTTATTCAGCAGCTGGTTGCTAGAGACAGTACTTTTGTCCCTTGCCAGGGCATCACCGATAACTACAGCGGTGACAGGTCAATAACCGAAACCTGGTAACCGGTTACTAGGTAACCGGTTTTTGAAAGTAGTGCCCGGAATAATCACAATCCGGGCTAGGCTAATCTTTATAGATAGATTTTCTGAGTACTGGTGATTCATTGTATGAAACCAGTTATTAATTTGTTTTTAGCATATAAGAAAGAAGTGGTTTCTTTTATTTAAGTAATAATTTTAATTTCAATGCGTGTAATCATGAATCTGCCATAAAGTAAATTATTTGTACTCGACTTGACACCGGTGCGCCCTTTATGTCTTGATTGCAAGCAGGAAAGATTGTCTTTGACCAGTTACTATAAACTTTAAAAGCTTCTAATGATACTTTAAATTACTTGAGATCTACCTTTGAAGTCAATTGCAATCGCTTCTTAAATATCGATTCAAGATGCTGGTTTACGTTAGCTCAGATCACGGGGATGACCTCATAGTGTAACAAACCTAGAGCTCCTGCTACGGATGAGAGATCAAGTACAAAAGATCTCAGCGCATTCCTTAAAGGATTATCATCACCTGAGGTGTGCTTTACTCTCGCGGCCGAGAAAGTATTCATTTCAACAAACAAGTATTCAAATAACACTGAATTTAATATATTATTTGTATCCATTTCGGTTTATAAAAAAAAATCATGTTCATGGAATTTTTCTCATTCCGATAGATTTTAGAAGGCTGGGTCCAAATGTAGAGAGTCATAAATATTTCTAAATTGTTTGAAAAAATTATTCTTCGTCGCCTTGATTCTCTCGATATATTTAAATTTATTCCAAATCATCAATTCGGCTTCAGAAAGCATCATTCAACTGTTCAACAATGCCATCGATTGGTAGATTATATTTCTAATTCTAAATTATTGCCCTGGAGTTTTTCTTGACATTAGTCAAGCCTTTGATAAAGTTTGGCATGAAGGATTGCTCTCCGAACTTAAAACTTTACTTCCTCCGACTTACTATCTAATATTACTTTCATATCTAACGGGTTGACATTTTGTAGTAAAAGTAGGGACAGAACGTTCTGTCATCAAACCTATTAAAGCAGGAGTGCCTCAGGGTAGTGTCCTTGGACCAATATTGTTTAATATATATATGCCTGGCCTACCGGAACACAACGACACAATACTGGCTACTTTTGCATACGATACCGCAATCCTAAGCTCAGATAAAAACCCTGTTCGAGCATCTACCATCCTTCAAAATCATCTGAACGATATTTCAGATTGGGCAACAAGGTAGAAAGTTAAGATGAATGAAAAAAAAAGTGTGCATGTGGTATTCACTCTTAACCATAAACCTTCCCCTGAAATATATTTTAATAACATTCAAATCCCAACATCAGATGTAATTAGATATTTAGGTTTTTACCTGGACAAAAGACTTACTTGGAGGACTCACATCAGACAAAAACGAATAGAATTAAACAGACGATACGGTCTCTTATCCAGATTACTTGACAGACGTTCAAAATTATCTTTAACTAACAAACTAACCCTTTATAAAGTTTTACTTAAACCTATTTGGACTTACGGCATAGAACTGTGGGGCTCTGCTAAAACTTCCAACATTAAAAAAGTTCAGTCCTTTCAGTCAAAAGTGTTGCGAAGGATAGTTGACGCACCTTTTTATGTCGCAAATGACACACTACATAAAGACTCAATAATGACACGTATCAATAAGGACACGTACCTACAATTTTAGATACTGCAAAAGAGAACTACAATAACTTTCACCAAAGACTGACGTACAACATGAATCCTCTGACAGAAATCCTTCATCGTAGAAGAAACCCGTACAGCCCACCACGACGATTACGTAGGCGTTGGCCAAGAGACCTGCTGATCTGATTTATATCCCGGACGTGATGGGAAGCTGTGAAGCTGCTAAAAAATTTGCTTATTGCAAAGAAATTTGCAGATTGCAAATTTAATCTAATGTTCCACATTTTTGTTTGGTTAATAAATAAATCTCTGTCGCTTTTGTAAATTGAATATTAGAATTTTTAAAATCACTATTCAGTATAACCAATGAATGGTTCTGGGTTGGATACTTCTCAAGGAAGTATTGTTTCTTGATCAACAGCTGGATTTCTGCTACATGTTTTTCCTGACTTATTGAAGGTCATGTACTCACTTAATAAAGGATTTAGTGTTAGACCTTAGAAAATTTTCAGCCCATCGGACTCTCGTGGTTGCTAGAACTTATACATTTTGTACTGAAAATTCGGCTTTTAAGCCCTGATAAGCGATATCAATGTTTATTAGACCTAAATGATACTAAATACCATTTAATTGTACAATGATATTCCGAGTTTAATCAAAATCGTTGGAGCCGTTTTTGAGAAATCGTAAAAATGTGTAAAATCGATGATATAAAGTGGCACTTTAAAGCTGATTAAAGCGAAAAAAAAAAAAACACTGATAATGAATCTTAATATTTTCACTTTACCTATGTATGACATTCTGATCAAGGAACGTATCGAATCAGATTTTTCAACCAAAATACTCGTTTTATGGTACTTTGAGTCTAAATGACCAGATATATCCTAATAATCATACGTATGCAACATCGGAATGCAGCTACCCCTACTCCGTATACAGTCGGGAATCCTAATTCGAGCTTTCCAGGATCTGTTACCGTTGGCGGTATGGCCCATGGACGATCTGTTTCAGGGAAAGAAAGATTGATTCTAGGTCCTGCTGAACCTGAGTGAGCCGGTGTGAAGGTAACTGCACAATAAGCTTTAATGGGGTCGATTATGGAGCTTTAATGGGTAACCTGTCGCTGCTTCATCGAAATCTTACTTTGAAAAAAAAATTGAGGTTGGTGAGCTCTTCCAATTTTTGTTGCTGCAAGAAATTTATTTCTGTAAGAGGATCATATCTAACGCAGATATTCATTACCTATCGTGCGAACTGGAAACAGATAACTTACAGTTACATAGTTGAAGCTGGATTAGTGTTTATATGAACAATTAACTGAAATGGTTTTTACTAAAGTATATTTTAAAGGCAATCATAAATTGTGTAGTATGCTATATTTGCTGTTGATGTTGCTTTATATACCTTCCTGTGAGCCTTAGAATCGTACGATAACATTCGTATTCCTGATGTTGCAGCTACGCCTCCACGATCTGCATGACGTGATTTTCCATTTCCTGGAAGCTAGCCGCATTCGAATGCACCGGCTGCCCAATGCCGCTCTGGATGAGTATCGAGTGGCCTTGGTGGCTTGGCCTATTAACTAGCGTGTCTCGTGGAGCGGGAACGGTATTATTAACGGAACCTCGAAGCTGTCGCTGTTTTATTACGTTTTGCTCCTTACTCTAATTAGCCTAAAAACGTCTCCTAATAGATTTGTCAGCGTCTCCAGAATTGTGGCGGCCATTATGTTTTATACTTCCTTCAAAATAGAATAATCTAGAAAATAGTCCACTGAGGTCTATTGCTTCATATATATATATTTTAGATTGATTAGTGAGGAATGTATTGAATCCTATAATCTGTTCTGGCATCATAAAAAATATGTTGGTTTTAATAAACCTTTTTTAATATCTTAAAAATTGGGAAAAATAATGCTGTCGTTCATTTTTTAAGGTAATGAATTCGAATTCTTTTTATAACACAAATAACAATAGTAACAAGCTATATAAGAAAACAAATAATTTAACAATTTTTACTTTCACTTACCTGTATATGTAATATATAGTAAAGGAAAGTATTGTGATCGTGAAAATTTTCGAATCTGATATTATATTTATATCAATTTTTTAATTATATTTTTTATAACATATTTTTTGAAACGGAAATACACGTTTTGAGGTCTTCTGAGTCAATATAACCAAGTCCATTATAACCAAAAATTTGAAGAATTGAGCGTAATCCTGATAAGATCATCTTCTTGCTTAGTCGTTGATTGCTTATTTATTTTCAATATTCTGTCTGAGGATGTTAATGCGTTGTTTTTATAATAATAATATTTAGTGAATATATATTTGCTCCTATAACGTCTCTTGATGTAAAATCGTGATTTACTTGCTTTGTTTATTAATTTTAATGTAGAGTATGTCGCTTACTAATTCCTAATTCGTTGGCATTTTATTTAATTACTAATTGTAAATTTTTTTTTCCTTTATTATTGCAGATTTGGATATTTTTTCAATGTATATTTCATGGTTTATTAATGTATATTTTGCGGTATATTTTATTGCATATTATATACCATATTTTTATGAGTTTTTACTGCATAAACATTTGGTCTTTGTTTACAACCTATTTATTCTTTTTTGAACATTCATCGGTTGTTTTACTATTCGCTTAATTTTATTTAAGATTGTCTGTGATAGAGCAGCAATATGGACTTGCTGGGCAGTTCCACACCTCCTGGTAATCGTTGATATTTTCCATTATCCTCGCCCTCTTGGATTTTTTAGCTGAAACGAATCCTTGTCCGGTTGTTACTGACTGGAGGTAACCGCCCAACTTCTTTCTCTGGACATCTGCAATATGAAATTCCACGGAGTATTTATTGTAAGATATTATAGGATCAGTTTGCCTATTTGTTGTATAAAAATGTAACGACTGCTTGCATGTCTTTTTTTTTTTTTAAAGTTATATTTTAGTTTTGATTTTGTATGCTTGCCCCTATTCTTTAGAATTTTTAAAAATAATTAAAACGCGCATTAGAATAATTAATTTTAGCCTATTAATAAGGCAACTGAATCAGAGACATATTTAATGAAATATAATACAAAAATTACTTAATGATACACAAAACAACCTAAGAATAAATTAAATTTATTGGGGTGAGAGGACGTCAAATGCCTAAGCCCGGCTCAGAAGTAACCATTCACACTATATTTATAAACTAAAGAACGATACATATAAAAAAAGTTAATAGAAAGTACGTAACTAATAGATTAGAAAAAAAATTAATAAAATAATATGTGTACATATTAGGAAAAAAGAAATGGATTAATAGGTAAATAATGGACAAATGAGTAAGTAACAATGATAAAAGAATAAGTAAAAACATTTTACACCAACTTCCTTTAAGCAGTTATACAAAATCCTTATCGAATGTGTTGTCCGACAGCATAACATCATCCTCTCTCTTTTTTTTTATAATCGGTAAAAAATATGTCAGATCTTGGTGCAACCCTTTAAATAATAACAACTCAGTTATCTTACTGTAAATAATTATATCGTATTTTAGATTTCGCAGTTTAGAATGTCTGGTATATCTTATCATCCATCAAAAGAATACAAATATTGGTCCAAGATTATGAACATACGCCGGTAAATCGTACGTTTTACGGTTTATGGATTTCATGGACGTTTATTCTTATTTATTTTTGTAGTTTTTACTTGGTTATCTTATAAGAGCGTTCTTTACTTTCGTTGAAATATTTTCGTTGCTGAAAAATTCGGTCTTGTACTAAAAGAAAATATAAAGTTTTATATTTGTAGTTCCTGAATGTGTTTCGACCAATTGGCTCATATTGACTAAAGCTTCAAATTGAATAATCACATGGTAATTGCCTAATTTCCTAATCTAAATTATG